TCCTTTTTTATTGCGATAACAATTTTTTTGATATGCCTAGAACTGGATGGCAGTAGATTTTCTATCGTTTCCACAATAATTGTTTCTGATTCGAGCGTCATTATTCCGACGTAATCCTAATTCAAATTATACGCGTAAATAAACGTTGATAACGTTATATTTTTCAAAATAGGTAATAATTAGGTTTTCCATGTTTCGAGAACCCAAGAAATATGATCGTTAATTGTGAGAGCCTCACCGTAATAACATTGCCGTATATTCTTGAATTTCTATAGGTATTTTAAAGCAGTCTGAAATGATATGAAATAATGATAATTTGATATCCCACTGAAATTATGAAATTTGTATTTTCTAAACATGCCAGACCCTCGTAAACATTGCAAATGAGAAATGTATATATACCATCTCCATTCATAAATGTTAATTCCTATCAATTCTGAGAGCGGCGCCACTCTCTGGATACAAATTGTTGCCATGCAAGGGTTTCGTAGTCCCTAACTTTTTAGGTTAATTTTTCATTTTGAGTGGTTGAAAAAATTAGTACATATTTGTGAAGATCTAATCTATGTTCCTGTCGTCTCACTTTTTCGAAATTTGATTCAGTTTTTTCTAAAAAAATCGCTAAATAACGTGTTTTTGGATGATTTTCCAATTTTTTTTCCGGCGGAACCGAATCGAATTTCGAAAAAGTAAGACGACAGGAACATAGATAATATCTTCACGAGTATGTACAATTTTTTTCATATACTCAAAATGAAAACTGACCCTGAAAAGTTAGGGACTACGAAACCCTTGCATTATTGCTTTATATCATAGTACAACTTCCTCTTCATCAAATAATATTGTTAAGAAATTGAAAATGAAGCTTAAAAATATATCGGAGCATAATATGATATCATCAATGTTAACAGATGACTGCATGATACATTTTGAATTCCTCATCAATCATTTGATTCATTTGATTGTAGTAAAATTATATAAAGAGTGCAAATGGATGTCGACGTCTGAAAAATATTCGATTAAGAAGAAGAGTAGGAATGTATCAAATAAATCAAAACTTGATATTTTACGTAGTGTATAGATCATCGGGAGTCGTTATTCTATGAAATGTGTAATGTATTTTGAGTAATATATAAAACTTTCATGTGACTTTTTTGTCTTTTCTCTAAAATTCAAATTTCAATTAATTCAACTGTTCTGTTCTCGGTTCTGTTCATAAATTCATAAATTGAGTACCTATTCAATTATACAACAAATTTTTAGAACTTTAAAACCTCAACTTTTATACACTTCAGATTTTCAATTCCTCTAACCTGTTTGTAGTTCAGCTTTCCAACAATTACAACTTTTAATAACTTTCACTTTCGAACCATCAAATAGATATTCCAATTATGCAACTTGTCACCATGATATATCAATCCATTACATTTTTTTCCTCAAAATCGGATTTTCAACTTTTCTGTCTTTCAAAATTGAATTTTGTCTCAAATTCTCATTATCCTCAACATCTCAGATTTTCTGTACTTCAATTTTTCAACTCTACGACTTGTTTGTTGTTCAGCTTTCTGACTTTTCATCATTTTCACTTTCACATTGTTGAATATTTCAATTTTCACTTTATACAATTTCATCCCGATTTCAATCCATTTCTCTGTAATTTTCAACTTCAAAAACAATTCATACTCATACATTTCAACTTTTCAATTCTTCAACCTGTTTGCTGTTCATTTCATTATCCACTATTTCAACCCTTTATCTCTCTCCAATTCTTAAGTACCTATTATGTTTTTCTACAAATTTTCAAGTTTTCAGGTTTGTAACGCACACGACTTCACTGTCTTTCAACATTTTCGATTTCTCAAAATTTTCAATTTCTCAACTTTTCAACCTTTTGGTCTTGCTAAATCACATTTTGCCTCAAATTCCCAATATCTCAAAGCTCATATTTTTCAGCTTTTCTGAACATGAACATCTCATACTTTTTCTTATTCAAGTTTTCCAATTTTCTCCATAAGAATTAATGTTCTACTTCTCAACTTTTCAACATATCATATTTCAACTCATGCTTTTATCATATCTCAAGTGTTTTTGTATAACAGATTCATGATATAGGTAATATTATTATGATGGTTATCAGACAAATATATTATAACTAGCTGTACCCTGGGCGCGTTGGTTCGCCATCAACTAAAATAAATTTAAAGGAAAGACATTACACAAATATTCAATTCATTTTGAGTCATCAAATCATCGAAATCGGTCGTGCCGTAAACGATTATATAACGGACATATAGACAAACATGGGAACATAATCACAAAACCCGTCCGCCATATTGGATGCGCCATTTTGAATTTTCTTATTTTGACGACGAAATCATTATCTCCGACCCCAAAAACCCTCAGATACCAATTTTGAATAGAATCGGTCCATAATTACAAAACTCGTCCGCCATATTGGATTCGTCATTTTGAATTTCCTAATTTTGACGAAAGAATCATAATCTCCGACCCTGAAAACCCCTAAATACCAATTTTCAATTAAATCTACTCATAATTAAAAAACTCGTCTGCCATAAGGGATCCGCCATTTTGAATATCCTAATTTTAACGACGGAATCATAATCTCCGACTCCAAAAACCCCTAGATACAAATTTTTAATAGAATCGGTCAATAATCACAAAACTCGTCCGCCATATTGAATCCGCCATTTTGACTTTTCTAATTTTGACGAAAGAATCATAATCTCCGACCCCGAAAACCCCCAGCTACCAATTTTGAATAAAATCGGTCCATAATTACAAAACTCGTCTGCCATATTTGATTTTTTCAATTTTTGCCATATTTGATTTTCTCAATTTTTTTTCTACCTATACCATCCCTGAACTATAACGGAATAAACAAAAAAAATTTATCCAAATCAGTCGAGCAGTTTACGATTTTATCGAGGACATACAGACAGACAGACAAACATTCATTTTTATAGAGAAGATGCAGATTAATTATTTTTATTCTGATCTGATTTTTTATCCAAGAATGGTAATAAGAGTGTATGCCACATTCTGGCAACGCTGTCACGCGTAGCCGGTTTCGAGGGTGCACGGCGCTATAAATAGACCACAGACTGCATGGACCTCGGATGAATTATTCGCACCAAGGATACTGGAGACATCTGTGTATGTTCTGTTTCACTAATTTCAGTGTTGACCAAATCCCCATTCACGGTGTATATCTAGGGGAGTCGTTAATCTATGATGTTCTTTAACAAGTGTGGACATGCTTGTCACCACTGACAAGTACAAATTGTCATCATTCTCTGTTCAAGTAAATTTTTATTATTGGCTTGGGTAAAATTGTATAGAACCATTTATTTAAGTATGAATATTTTTTTCGCTCTGAGAAAGCACCTCACTCCAATTACCACACATGTTAATTGATAATTGGTGTCGTCTACCTGTGCCCAGCAGGACATAATTTCTGGCTCATTCGATTTGCTACCGTTGTGCTTATCAGTATAACCGCTTACAAGTGTATCCTACCCGTGGTATTTTCAATAAGCTAGAAAACCACCTGCTTCAACTTCATATTTCTGCCTTACATCATATCCTGACGAGGAACTCCGAACACCACAGCCAGCCGGCTATTACACCATACCTGCATACACCCCATGGAATCATCAGGTGAGTGCAGTTGCTTTCTTGTATTCAAATCTAATTTTATATGGTCTATGCGATTTGAACCTGCCTTAGAAAATACAGTCCACTCAAATATTTTATTTTTTTTATTTATTTATTTATTTATTTATTTATTTACGGGAAACCCCATTACATAAAAAAAATTTTGAAAGATAAATATTATTAATACTAGTCTTAAGTCTAAATCTAACTTATGAAAAGAGCTCCATGTTTCAAAGTACAGATTTAATCAGTGTTTTGAAACTATCAAAAGACCCATGAAATATGTCCAAACCATTTTCATTAATCAATCTCAATGTTCTCTCAATAGGTGAGTGTAGACCATAATTAGTAGCATGGTGAGACATTCTAAATAGGTTAGCATTTCTTAATGTTCTGTTTGGAACATTGAAATTGATCAACTCCAACAACTTTGGACAAACAACCATTCCATTAACTAATTTAAAAGTAAAACAAATATCAGTGGTTTTTCTATGATTTTTCAAACTCTGCAAATTCATTTCACCATGAATGAATGCCTAATCATGATTTTCAATAACAACGTTAAGCTTGAAAGCACAGAATCTTAGGAATTTATTTTGTGTACGTTCTAAAGTGTATTTGTGAATTTGATAGAAAGGTGACCAAATGATAGAAGCATAATCTAGGTGAGAGACCACCAATGACATATACAATTTCCCGCAATTTCCTGACAGTATGGACAGAAAAAACCTTACAGTTTCAAAGGATGTATCCTAACATCTTAACAAATATTGAACATTCTCAGATTTGAAACACAGTTCTGAAAATTCAATAGGCGTCCCTGTGAAAATGTTTTGGAATATATCTTGTTGGGTAAGGAATTGCAAAAATTCTAAGAAAGATGGTTAACATTAATTTGAGTTGCCCAAAGGAACGAAAAAATATTTCAAGTGTTTGTTGAAGCTTGGAATTTCAATATTTATTTCAATATTTATTTCAATATTTATTTCATGGAAATACATTCATTGTTATGCCAATGCTAGGGGTTTAAATAAAAATATGTCTGCACTCATTCAAGGAACTGTACAGAAAAATGACATCATTCATGTCATTCATCTCTTATAAAACATATTTGTGTCTCATGTTTTTGAGCAGCTGTTTAACAATATAAATGTGTTCACACTCTTTAAAGAGCATAAAATGAGATGTTTGAGGCACTCTAGCAGGGATCATTCAAATATTCAATATAGATATCCTGAATTTAGTTGTGTAATTATAGTAATTCTTCAAATCCTCCCACAAACCTTCTGCTGTGACTTGTATAATTTATTGATTATCTGACTCACCTGAATATTTTGCAATGACAAAGCACGTGGACACATCAACAATGCTGCAGCTGCAGACAAATACTTTCCAGTATCACCCCTTACTACAACCAATGACAGAAGACATGCACAAGCAACTGCTGTAAAATGGCTCCCATTATTAGGAACTGAGCTCTCTGGACCATGAAGAGTAGCTAGGTCCAACAACAGATCAAAAAGAGAGTCAATAACTTCAGGAGGTTCAGATTTTAGGGCCTCTGGAGCTTGGCCTTGTAAAATATCTAGTAAAGCTAATAGAGCTTTGGTACAAAGTACAGGATGGGTAATTCTGCTCTCTTTAATCAGTTCAAAAACTGACCTCAGTCCTAGGCCAACAACTTTTGAAACTCTGAATGGAGTAAGGTATGTGCTTTGAGAATTATCCTCAGTGTCACTTTCAATTTCATTCTGATCTTGAAGAGGAGCACTGCAACTACTACGAAGAAATTCTTGGCTTGCTTGTCTCATCCACCTATCAAGGACTGCTAAGCGAATAGATGCAAATACAGAAAATGAAGAGGCATTCCCAGGTAATTCAATTTCAGGAGCACTGTGAGAGTCATTCTCACTTTGTACTTCAATCTTGTTCTTAGGTTTATATCCCAATTTTGATGACTTCTTCTTGAGTCTCTTCCACTCCAGTCTATTCCTAGATTGAGTAAAAAATTAATCTTAATTCAGCCCAAATAATAAAATATAAACAAGTACAGGATCTGGAGCTAGTTTAATGTTTATTCTTACTTTGAGTTTTCTGGAAGAATTTTATAGGCTTCATGGAAAATTAAACTGAAATCTTCAGGATCCGGCAGCATTTCCCTGATGGTTCTACACCGTTTCACAAATATTGATTAATTTGATGTGTCATAAATATACATATTATGCACCCTTGTAAGTACTGCCGCCACCACCTTTAAAGGATCAATACAAATAATAAATCGAGAATTGAATTTCAATATCTCACTAACCCGCACGAGAAGTGTTCCTTGTCAGCAAAATACAATAATATAACAAACCATTTTCGGATTATCCAAATATTCCGAATTAGCAGTTTTCAAGCGGGTTATTTGAAAATTATCAGAATGACCAAATGGTTGAAGTAATCACTGAACGTAGACGTTAACGTAGACAAAACGTAGACGTACGAAAAATAACGTTTACGGTCTTCACATATATTTACTATTTCTATATATGGCGCATCGCCAATACGATATTTCAACAAAAATGGTGGGACCAAAATGAGAGGTACTTATTGAATCAATAAGGAGGGAAAGTGAAGGATGGAAACAGCCATATTGGTTTGACAAGCTTCGTATTATTTTTTAAGTTGGTCCCGCTTTGATTGATTGTCTTTATTACCCCAAGAAACATTATTGTTTATATATATACAACAAAACATACATATAAAACATAATAAATCAAAACAATAATGATTGCACAATTATTGTTTCTCCTAAAAAAAATTATAATGAAATATAAAATGAAAATATTAAAATCCATTACAAGTAATCAAATTGTGAATGATAAGTACTATTAGTAGATATGGAATTGAAGTTTACTGAGCAGATATTTCTTTAATATCATTTTAAATTTGTTTGCTTCTTCTATATTTTTCAACTCATTAGGTAAGGAGTTATACAAAATTATTCCATTATAGAATATTGATTGTTTACCAAAATTTGACTTATAATTATTTGCTATCTATAAATTGAGGACAGCTATGCTTCATATATGAGTAGTAATATGTCTGTAATTTCATCTATGTTTCATCTATGCTGTAAGCATCTTAAGGTAACGAAATCGACCAATAGGCGTTGATGCCGACGTAGGGCAAGGAATGATACGACATCAATGATACGACAATATTGTCACAAATGAGGAGATATTTGAAGTTAAATTCCAAAATTCTTATAAAATCATATTGGTTCGAAGTCATTGAACGTTCACGTATCTGTTTATTATTTCCAAAATTATTGAACCACGAACTTTCGATTAATAGTTGAACCCAAACACAGGCGTGACAATGACTTCAAACCATCCACCTGACTTCCTCACTGTCACGTTTCCAAAATATAGATTAAATTAAGGTTTAAATATATAAAAGGCGCGAGGAAGCCAGCACAGGGATCATTTTCGAACATTCAATCATTCGATCATTCCGATCTTTTCGATCATTCAATCATTTGACTCGATCGATCATTCGGCACTGTGCCCGAAAGATGCCCTTCCTCTAAGGTCTCAGCAATATTAGCTTTCAATGTACATATAGGGTAAGTTAAGTTTTTATTTATTGTTAATCAGAAACCAAAGAATAAATGTGTGTATATGTTTTGTTGAAAACCTTTTGGAGTATTCTTTAATATTATCACTTTGAAAGTTCATTCTCTAATAGATCTAGAGCACAACTTAGGCAACCCCCGCCTACAGTTTGTGACATGGTGGAGGCGCCAATGGCTCGTTCCCGAGGTTGGTTCTTCATAACCAACCTCACTTTTTCAAATTTCATGTTCTTTCGGTTTTTAAATTATATTATTTTTATCAAATTATGAATATCAAAGTTAGATGAATATTTTAGTAAGACAGTTTTCATTATTTTAAGGATTGAATGTAAAAATGTGTTTTTATATGGGGCATCTGGCCAGGATTTGCGAACAGTCCAGCATGCTAAAACTGGACTGCCTCGGTTTGATCTTCAAATGGGGCGTTCCTGGTAGTGCATACAGATAGGCATGCCAAAACCATCTGTACCCATATGAAAACTATTTGAAAAGGATTAATTTGGTTTTAGTTACTTAGTTGATTGTGATCTATTGAGAAGCTTAGACCAACTATTATTTCGATTAGGATGAGCCTTATTGCGAAAATTTTATTGTCATAAGGTGATTTATAGAGTGTTTGAAGGAGTAACTTGAATTTTTTTGTGGAAATAGAGTTTATTCGAATATATGGATGGAAATAATGAGGAATCATTGAGATTTATGATGATTTTTTTTGTATTGAGAGAAATGTGGAAGTGACCATATGAGAAAATATGAGGCTCACAGTTCACGAAAGATTATCTGGTTCCGAAAAGGGTGGAACTAGAGCGTTGAGGGTATTCGTGGATATTTGTTTATAACATTAAGGATGCCCCTGAAAATTGATTTCCACAAGTATTTTATTACTCGAATCAACGTAATCACCTTCACGACTTGAAGTTTCATCAGAATATAGTATGATATTTTCATTTTTTCATTTTCATCGCAAGCCAAGCTCAAAGTTTCAAAAAATTGAATTCTAATTTTCTGGATCATTTATCTTTAGAGAATGAACGTGAAAAATTATTATAGGTAGGTATTGTTTCTTTGAAAGAAACACACATTTATTCTCACTTTATATATTTTATTCCGATTAAGTAATATTAGGTTAGTATATTCATTTATAACATGTATCCTTCGAACAAGTAAAAAATATGTTACGATCAATTTGAAGCAGTAGGTTAGGTGGCTGTTGCCTGTCATAGAAATGTTTTCTTTAAACTGAAAATTTTTGGAGTTCATTTAAGAAATTGGGTTCATGGGAAAATGTGTAGTACTCATGACGAAACAAGTAAACATTGATCTGTTGTCAATGATATAGAAAGCAAATCAACATGCTCAGGATAAATTTCGTGATAAAAATCTCAAATTATTGAAGTATCGGCTCAAATCGGCTGGAAAATATTATGAAAAAGGTTTATGATTGTCGCTGATGACAATGTATATGCAGTATATTGGGATACTGCGTGCTATAATAAGACCCAAAATGGGCACTAGCTATAGATGATGATATAAAAGTGAGTCATTTGTTGAACCCAAAGAGGTTATTTAGTTGTTGACCAAATGAGTCAAAGATATTTTCGCTGACGACTTGATCAGTGCAAGAGTCACTGTGGATACCGCACCATCACCCTGTATAATTCAATACCTGTCGAGGCAAATAGCCAGGGGAGTAGTTGTTTCAGGAAATGGTCCGGAGTAGTCGAATTGTATAGCGAGAAAAAGAGAGTTTTATGTGATATTATGAAGTTATTGATATAGTATTGAATTTATGAAGTATTGAAGTTTTTGAGGTACATGGATAGTTTGTACGATAAAAGTTGTGCTGTGATGTGCAAAGAAGGCCTATCAATAGTCAGGAATGCTCAAAGGTTTGATCACGCGGAATCCCGGAAAATGCTCTACATTGTAGGGATATTTGAGCTATATCGAAAGAATAGGGTATTAGACAAATGTTTCAATAATTAGAGTAGGGATGAGAGAATCTATAGAGCTGACGAAAAGGCACAAAGTTATAGCACATGAAGTAAATATTGAGTATATTGGGAAAAATGAGTACCTATATAGTAGAGAGTACCTCGTTAAGGCGACGAGATATGTCGTACACTGTGGAAAATTGAAAGCCGAAGTCGAAAAAGAGATAGATGAACGAATATTGAGCATGTTGATAACTTAATATGAGAAGGAAAAGCCTAGTGTTTTTTTTTCAGATCGATAATTTTTGAGGAAAATAATAGTCATGTAACATTAGAATAATCGAATTTTTAGTATGTTTCAGAGGAGAAGAAATCAATCAATCATATGAACTCTACAGGAGAACAACAAGATATGGAAGCAATGAAAATATTGGGGGAAAAAAAGTAGAGAAAATTAAAACAAAAAAAAAATGTTGAAAACCGGTAGAGAAAATTCAGACAGCCGCCAGAAAACTGAATCAAGGTATAGGTAAAATAGTTATCGAGCATCAAAGTAAGTATTTCATTTAGAAAAAAAAAAACGGAAGGACGTTGTTTCATGAAGCCAATGGAAAAATCGCGATATAAGTAGTTTGGAAAATCATGGTTATGAACTTATTTGAAATGTCAACATAAACTCGACTTCATTAAAATCTTTTAACGAAACATCGAAATGGAGTCACCAAATGATACAAAAATACAAAAATTTCAAATGAATTTTCACAAAAATTTCCATTAAATTATTCCATTGAGATAATAATGTATTATGGGAACAGGAATCATGTATTTTTTGGAAGGCAACCATCTCGATGCAAGACATTCGCTTATGAAACAATGGGAGTGAAAAGTTTTTTTTTTCATTATTATTCAAAAAGGAGGGAATCACTGGTTAGTATAGAGTTTGCAAAGTAGGTCTGGGTCAGTATTCGATTCACGTTGATGTTTTGGTATCGGGTGTCACATATACGGTTCAAGTTCAACCTCTCATAACATATACAGTGATATTTATAATATATTCTTGATTATTTGGTTTTTGTGGTAGATTTTATAAATTGTTTTATAAATATACATATTACAAAAAATAATAGTATACATTTAGATATTCTTCAATATGATTAGCGAGGTGGTACTTAGTTCATTAGGAAAAACTGATCTTGTTAACAAATTGAAGAAGTCAATTGAACTCGGCTTGCAAACAACACTGAATGGATGTATGACTCAGATGGGTGAATAGTAGTGTTTTATAAATTTCAGACAAACATTGTTTATTCATATAAGTAAAAATGTAGATAAAGTTCAGCGAGAATAGTTGATTGATGTTTGGAGTTTTTTTTGTTATGCTGCAATAATTTCATTTTTTGTTTCACATGTGGTCCCACACTCGAGAAGAGGCAATAAGTTACCGAGGTAGTTGGACTGAGTTTCGCCGCATACAGAGTGGACCATGCAATCGTTTCTATGGGCATCACCACACCAGTGAAGGAGATACGAAGAAAGCATAGGGTACGAGTAGCGAACGTGTTCCGAAAATGCAGCCATGGAGATGGAGCTACAAGAAGCAAG